CTGGGTACATCTAGTACTTCTGGTCTCAGGGTTGTGGAGGCTGAGGTTCATGTGGTCCATTAGTCCTTTGGACTAATTGTTTGCATGCATCTTTGATTTTCTTCATTTTCTTTCCTTCGAGAGGGGACAGACCAATAGGTACATGTTATGTGAGTGCTTACAAGCTTTAAAGACCCCAGTCACTACCACCATAGTAGGATGTAGAACACTGTCTTTGTGGACTATGTTATGCCAGTGACCTTGATGTCTCCCAGGATTATAGTCCTGAATCTCTAGGCTCAGTGACTCATTCCCTCAAGGTGTTTGGTTATAGCTAAAAAGTTTTCATAACTTTGCCCCTATATGCTTTACTATACTTATGGATATATTTGCAGCACCTATAAATAAATAGGGATTGTTTCTTTTTAAATCATCAAACCCTATGATACATTTTGGGTGTTTGGTGTAGGGCATATACAAACATTACATACTGTTGATTTTTATTTAAATATTGCCAAAGAGGCAGGGAGGCCACATCTTCTGTCCTCCTCTAATCTCACAAGAGGAAGACAGAATTACCATCAGTAGCCCAAGGCCTAGACCTGTGAGGCCAGACATGCTACCTCCTTCCAGCTCCTTTCACCAACTCTGACATCAACCGTTCCTCACGTAGCACCTACCACCTCTCTGCTGAGTTTGACAATTCATGCAGTGGCCACATAGAACTCACAGATTATGGGGTTTACAAGGGAAGCACCAGGCTACCATTCAAGTTCAGGAACAATGCTCAGTCTCTCTCAGCCCACCGTGTCTCAGCCAACTGCCTCTCTGTTTCTCTCCCAGCAGTGCGTGTCTCTCTCTCAGCAATGCATGTCTCTCAGTGTCTCTCTCTCAGCAGCACATGTCTCTCAGGAGCATGTTTCTCTCAGCAGCATGTCTTTCTCAGCCAGCAGTCAGAGAGACTTCTTCTGCCTCTAGAAGGGCTCCTTTTGAGCCTGGCAGAGTGACCACTAACCAATACCATCATCAGAATTCTATACACCTGAGAGAGAGAGAACTTCTCAGAAAATTGCTTCTTGCTGGTTCAACAGAAATACCCCAGGTGGATAACTTTAGCAATCAGGAGCTAATCAGTTGCTCACAGCAAATTCCACCACGGAGTTTACAAAGACTTATGGCTAGAAAAGCCACACTATGTAATTTACTATACCACAAATATCCTATAATAAATTATGCAATTCAAAAGATCCATTCATCCCACTGTTAAAGTCTCTGCCTGACGGATAAAATAAATGTGTCTAAATACTTCCTATGCCATCTAGGGATTATTTATTATAGACTGTAAACGTTTTTTCCTTTAATTTTTTTGTGATTTGGGTGAAAGTTTACAGAGCAAATTCACTTTTCATATAGCAATTCACATACGCTTTGTCTCATGACATTGATTGCAATTTCCCACAATGCAATAGCTTCCCTCTCACTTCCTCCCTATAGTTATCTCTTCCCTGTGTCCTTCCCTCCCATGCACTCCTGCCCCCCAAGCTGTCTCCCTGTGCATACACAGCCCTTCTATTCTCCCATGATTGATCTCTCCAAGAGTGTATCTACCTAATGTAAATGTTCAGCTCATATGCC